AAAAACACATAGCCACAGAGACAAAGTCTTCCTATATATTCTTTTTCATATAAATATCACATAGGCAGCTTTAATTTTGGCACATCCTTACTTCTGAGTAAGATTGATTTCCTTCCTTTGAGTGGATTTGTAACTTTAGCACTATTTTAGTCTAGGAAATAAATTTCTACACTACATCCTGTACTTTTATCATCTAAAGACATATGGCACGAGGGGAAAGAAAAATCATAATCATGATGTATGGCAGTTAACTAAAACCTGGTAATATTCTAGTGCTGATCTTCAGAGAAAAATATAAAACTGATAATGCTGTGCAAATTTGTTAACCATCTAGAGAGGCTACGTACTTTTTATCAATGGGCTTCTACATTTTCCCTGTGCTATTATTAAATCTCTCTCTTCAAGGTCAATTGAACCACAGTTTTCCCTATAAGTAGAGATCAAATGGTTCCCTACGGTGGAGACAGCAGCTCTTTAGATAGTAATGCTCTCTTCACACTCGTCTTTCCTGCAGGAAATCATAAAGTGCATCACTGACAGAGACACTTACTTGATTTAAAGTAAGATCCTGCTCTGAAGAGTGACTCCATCCACAACTATGTTTATGTTTATCGCCTCTCAGTGACACTATAACAGATAATTGTTTGAGACAGAAAAGATTATCTTTTCTGAGACAATATCTTCCAAACTCATCCTAAACTGACTTTTCACTTTCACTGATCATTACCAGCAATAAAGACACTGCAGAAGAAATTATGCTCTCAGAGACACCCACACAACCCCACTCCTCTCCACGAAAGCTGTGCAGTTATAGTCTGGCTTTCTCTCTCATTGCTGTGACCTTACCCCATCTCACAACACAAGGAACTTGCAGTAGGCGATCACAGTAAGTTTTCAAATTTCTGCAAACGTGAATAGTTCAAACACATACTACTGTAGGAACCATAAGCATGGATGCTCAGACACAGTAGCAAGGGATAGCTATAAAAAAAATGAAACTAGACAGACAAACTTTTGGTCTGACACAGGACACTGGTGTCTGGATACAGATTCTCGTACATCTTCTGTAATTCAGCCATTTGGAGTAACTCTTCACTTTGCTCTGAATGAAGGAGAAAGAAGAGAAACAGTTAATTCTTTCTTTTACCCAAATCAAATATTCTAACATGATTTTCTAGTGCCTAGTCAAGATGTTTTGCCTTAAATTATTTCTGAGAGTACACCAGACTTTCAGAGGTTGCTTCCACGGGCTCAGAAAGAGAGTAACAGGAAGCACAACAGTGAAACAGAAATTTTCCTCACAACCACGGAGCAGCCCCATTCTGCTGATCAACGATGAAGCCAAATCCATGTTGGTGAAAGAACAGGTGGCAGTGACAGAAAGAAAATCTACAACCCTCTTGTCTTTTACCATAACCCAACCTCATGCCAGAATGTATAGCTCTGCAGCCATAAGCTTAGCTTTTGTTTTGTTGTATTGTCCTGCAGCAATGAAGGTTTATCCCTTATGCTCTTCTAGTTTTGTGTACGAGGATGTTTTTCCCCCTCCACTTCCTCCTCCCGTCCACCCAGAATTCTCCCACTTCTGGTATTTTCTCTGTTGAATGAATGTTTCCTCCTTGCTTCATTCCGCTGTTAACTGCAAGTGCTTAGGCTGCCGTACTGTAAGCCACAAAACATAGTTGAAGGAAACAGTTTCCAAAGGGGAATTATTTCTGGTTCAGACCATTTTCACAGCATGAAGTTCACAGTATAAGCCAAAACCTCTTGTATATTCTCAGATGAAAAGTGTATAGCCTCCCTGTGTTTGCACTTCTGCCAAAGATCCTATACAAAGAAATGCTGGCTTTTTTCCTACTGTTCTTTTCCTCACCAAAATCTAATCGCTCATCGGCTGTGCATGCTTTATCTATCCCCCCAAGGAGAGGTATAGATTGGATGTTAGGAAAAATTGCTTCATCAAAGGGGTTGTCAGGCATTGGAACAGGCTGCCCAGGGAAGCGGTGGAATCACCATCTCTGGAGGTATTTGAAAGACAGGTAGACGTTGTGCTGAGGGACATGGGTTAGTGGTGGTTTTGGCAGTGTTGGGTTAATGGTTGGACTTGATGATCTTAAAGGTCTCTTCCAACCAAAATGATTCTGCGAGTCTATGATTCTATATATATGTGTTCTTCAAATACCCGCATCAACAAGAGAAAGAGCTGGACAGATTTTTGAGAAGACGCCCATGTGTTTCAGAGGTAGCAAGTCATTTTATAGCAAAACCTGCAGACGTCCTATGCTAATAGCTTCTGTAAGCTGAGGCTGGGAAGTGCACTGCCTAGTGATGTGCTGCAGGGCACCATAAGGACTGACAGAGGGGGAAAAAACAGAGGGGGAGGGAAAAAAAAAAAAGGAGAGAGACTCCCCACCTCCTTAACAGCATGCAAACAAACTACAAAATGATAGCCAGCTGAGAAATGTTTTGAAAGGATAAAAAAAAAAGCATACCTTAAAATTAATTTTGAGGCATTAGGAATATTAACCAATTCAAACATGTACTAAAGGGCTGAAGAGAAAAAATATTTTAAGTTAAATTTCTGTTAAAAAACCTAAACTTCATTTAAGCATTGGCATTGCCACCCCAATTTTCTGCACTAAATTTGTCCCAAGGAAAGATTCTCTGAGACAAATTTGAGAAAGGGAAAAATGTAAGCTGTGTTTGATTGGATGCGATTTGCAAGGAGTTACTACAACAACACTATAGATGACACAAAATATTTTTGTAAAAAGTCCTTCAACTAGTGCTTCAGTAAGGCAATTAGTATCCAGTATTATGGAAAATTTTGTAAACTGACAAATTCCTTTTTAATCATCCTGTATTTTTGACATTTGCTACTTTTACTTTACTGTTACGAGCGTTGACACTTGTCTTCTCAGGCTAGACAAAGCTCTACTGCAAAACCCATGAATTTAAATCGATAGTGTAGCCCTACAACCAAGAGACTCTCACCCTACCGAAATAAAGCATAAGCCACCGTTTTTCCACTGCCAGTGGTTTTTTTACTTAAAAAAGGGGGTGATGGCGGTGTATTTTTCAACAGCGTCTAGAATTCCCTCGGTAGGCACGATCTCTATTTAGTTGTGCCTTTCTTGGTAAGACCCGTTACATTTTCCGTCCCCTCGGTTGCCAGTGCTCAGGTCTCCCCATAATATCAAATACCTAGATTCTTGAAATGACCATGTTCCAACCATCATTACATACGAGAAAATGGCTTAGCGACACAAATTACCTTTCAAAATTTATGCAGAAGTGAAGAACTCATACAAAAATTCCCAATGCAGAATATTTCCCTCGAAAGTAGACTTCCAAACACACACATGTTTACTAACAGAACCAGAGGGGATTGCTCTGACATCTTCACAAGAGCACGTGATTTATGGGCAGACTAGGAGCTGAAAAAATAGGCATTTCACAAGGTTAAGATTGCCGTTACAGGCAGTCACACTATAAAAGCAAGAGACGAGTTCTTATTGGCCCTTCCCCCACCCTCCCTAACTAATCTATTCAGATAAATTGTCATGGCAACTTGATTTATACCCCAAGGATACTAGCAAAGACAAGTCAATTCCCCTTGGAGAGCTCGCGAATAGAAAAAGCCCTGCCCATTCTGATGCTGGCCAAGCCTAAAGCTAAATGCCCTCCCCTGTTACAGGCTCACCGCGTGCTACCAGAGCAACTTCTCTCCGCAGTGTTACTCCCTGCCAGACGCTCCTGCTCACATTGCAGCCATGAGCCTCCGGTTTATGTCAAAGGCAAGACTGCATCGTTTGGAAAGAGTCCTGCCTTCTGTATTTTACTAGCTTTTACTAAATGTGAGTTGAGTTCAGAAAGAAATCGTAGCCGTTCAGAAATTCAGAATTCTGTAAGAATAGTATTTTCCTTATTGAGGAAGCACATATATTTACCGACTGTAACTCGAGTGGTTCAGTAAAAAATACAACTTCATGTTGGATGGCGGCAATACAGACCATATTTCTTTCAGATCTCCACCGTGTCTTCAGAAGAGCGAAAAGCACAGAACAAATTCCATGTTTTTCCCTTCACTTGCAGTCACATTTCATGTAACCTTTTTTCCTTTATATATATACATATGAAGACAAGCAGTAATTCTGCAATATTTTTAGAGAATGTAAGAGAACTGTACTAACATATGCTGTACATAAGATCTCTTGGCATAGGCAGTAGCATAAACACTTTCACTCCATCAGCAGAGGTCCTTATATGACAGCCACATAAACCATCCTGGAGTGGCTACGCCGGCTCTTATCTCAGCATGAGCACTGATTGGAGCATCCAACATCCCTCTCCCCAAATGCCGTACCTAGTGTGTGCAGTGGAATGCACTCTTTCAAAGAGACACTGGACTTGCTGCGTGCACTGAACATAACGGATATTCTCCTACGACACTCAGTGGGCTGACTGACCCTCATATTAAGAACAAGCAGAGCTACCCCGAAAAACGTGTCAACACATACCGAAAGAGCGAAGATCTAATTCTTCCATGAATTTTTAAGAATGCTTTCTTTTTAATAGAAAATCCTTTGCAAATTCAAACTCGGCCCTAGAAGTGCAGCAGGCAATACGCAGTTTTAAAAAAATAAACACATACACAGTTTTAAATAAATAAACACATACCACAGCAGATAAATCAGCATTTATTAAAGTTCATCTCAAAACAAACAAAAATTATAACGGACATTAAGGCATCTTCTATTCAGTAACCGTTCATATAGTAGAGATGACTTCTCTTTCCGATACGAGAGCAGATTAGGGAAAAAAAAGAAAGTTCTCCCAACACCTTTGGCAGAATGCTGAGTCCTTCCCACTGTCCCACCACTCAGGCAGCAAACCCCTCCAAGGAATGCCCATTTTTCCAGTGAAAGAGCTACAAAATCCCAACACTCACCGAGACATGTGCAAGAAAGCACTTTTCTCTCCCCTCAGACATCCGACCTTCTGCAAAGATGCACGCTGGAGAAAGACTAACAGATGGGTACCGCAGAGAATAAAGAAGACATACTCCCGCTGTAACCACTCATTTTTGAGCAGACTAGAACATTTGGCCTTGCTTTCGCTAGTATTTACTATTTCAGCCAGTAACTAGTGAAAACGGGACCAAAAGCTCTAGTCTGTATTGCAATGTAACAATTTTTATGTTTTCCTTCTACATTCAGATTAGATAAACAAATGACAAAGGTCTTGTTTCCAAGGAATAATTTATTTTGATGAATTATGCTGTCAAGTGACTAATCACTGTTATAGTGGTTTTTTCTGCAGTTGGAATAAGAACATCAGGAAATGCTTACAGTATCACTGGGTTCACTATAACAGGATTTTACTACAGAGTAGAATATAAATTAATAAACACTGCATATAGCACTACTCACTTCACCACATTGTCTCTCTATATACCCTTTGTCACATTCTAACCTTCCTTTAAGGCAAGTTTGTTTCGTTTTGTTTCATTTTGTCTTCTAAAGAAGACCACATAGTCTCTAGATAACTTTTGTGATTAGATTTGCAAGTTAGGAAATTGAGCTTTATAAAATGTTTACTTCAAGAAGTACGAAAGTTATTAAGAGAAAGTTGGTGACCCAAAATTGCACTGTATTAAAAGGTGGAGTTTCCTTGTACCAAAGTCCTTTATTCATCATCTTTAGAACCAGTTTTGCTTAACTATAAAAGAGACACAAAAAGAAAGTATTCAAAGTTTAGACTGCCATTCCATTTATTAGGAAACAAGAACAACATTATCTCCATCTTACACAGAACATAGAATTATTTCATTAATAATACAGACCGATTGTGCTACTGTACCAAGAGACTGAAAAGCATAAAAAAATATTTCTTAAGCTTCAACACTAAATAAGCTTATTTCCTGAATGTGAAAGTTGATTTAAAAAAAAAAAAACCAAAACCAAAAAAACCCACCCAAAACCTCAGGGTACTGTTTCTATTTAATTTGAAGACTCTGCCACCAGCTCTCCAAAATAAAAAAGATGAAGTAATGGAAAAAGTATCTCCACACATCTCAGAGAGAATTCCCATATAGAGATTTACACAATAAAAACCAAACACTAATTTACTATTTCTCTCTTTTTTTAAAGCTAAGTGTATAAACGTAGTGCATCTATTGTGTAATCAATCTGGAATCCAAGACATCCACTACAAATAGCCACTTTTAACTCAGAAGGATCTGTCCCAAACCACCATCATCATTTACTTGCTCTTATTTAACAACTGGAACTGGTGTTAGGTATTACACTGAAAATTACTTACAGTTGGATAAAATAAAATAGTTTGCTTTCAAAATTGTCTAGCAGCTACCCTGATTTCCACTGAATCAGCAAAGACAAGAGGGTGGAAGAAATCAATGCGGAGGGAACAAGTAGAAAAAAATTAATTCCCTGGAGGACTTGCGGCAGAGAATGCTCAGGCTTGTAGGAGACAGCAAGGTGCTCCCACTTAGGACAGTCCCTTTTTCCTGCTTACTTATCCATTGCCCTCCAGAACCTCGCAGCACTACTAGCTCTATTTTACATCTTGTTGCCATATGAAGACATAATATCTGCAGTGCGCTTGGCTAGCAAAGCTCTCTCATCATAAAATTAAAATTGAATTGCTCAATAAATAAAAAAGAAATACTAACCTAACAAAGTTCAGAGAAGGAATCTGTCCTTCTGACCCTAATATGCAGAAGGACTAAGCATTTTAGAGCCTTTGAGAAATATGTACATTAGAATCCAAAACAGGCAGCAGTTCTCACTATTCCTTGCAAATCTTTTTAACATTAAAAAAAGATAACTTGAAAATACTTACATGCTGGATGCATACAGAAATGAATAAGACACCACAGTAAAATCCAAACAAAGTTAGGCAGAAAAGCAAGAAAAAAAATCGGATTAGTTTTCTTCAGATATAAGTATAAATTATTTTTAATGTACATACATAGTATTTTCATAATACTGCATATAATACAGTCATGTTACCTTAATTACGTCCACCCAGTTCCATCCTCGTGGAAGCTCCCCTTTGTTATCTGCAAAATAAGAAGTTTTTATTTTCAACAGACAAGCCAAGAGGAATCTTTATCTTTCTTTAAAATCAACACACAAAATTCTAAAGATACAAACCCCTTAATTTTGTACAAATTTAATTTTACAAAACTCAACACACAAAATTCTAAAGATACAAAACCCTTAATTTCTCCACTACAAAGCCATGAGGAGAAAAATAAATTCTTAATGTCACTTCAGTCCATCTGACATTTAATTCAGAAGGCAACTCCAACATGAGCTGTGCTGACCAGCAATGATGCATTCTGTCACAGAAAAAAATTTTATGCAGCTTTTCCTTTATACGGTCAACATTTAATCTGCCAATTATACATTAGGTTAGGTAAATTATATGCAGAAACTGCTATCACAGGGTACAACATATTTCTGCAATAGAACAGTATTATCCAGAACATTATTAACAATTGAGGTTGAACACATAGAAGTCATGAGCAGGATTAGTTGAAATATTGAACACCTTTCAATCAAAAACCTACCATTTCATTGAAAGCATAAAGTATCTGCAGAAGCACCTGTATTTTGAGGATATAAACTAAATTAAATGTTCTATTTTGGGTTCCAAAAAAATACCTTGATTTAGAAATTACATTTTTAATAACGCGAATTATTTACGAGGGCCCATCAACAAACCACATCTTTTGTTGAAAATGAATTTTTCGAAGTCCCAAATGCTCTTCTCCCACAAGTATTTTTCTAAAATTTCACTTTTGTCACAAATTGAAATAAAAAAATAAAACAAAACCAATGACACCTTGAAACCCCTACTCTATGGAAAGTTGCTTTGACCAGAACTAACGTCTCGGGCAAGAACAATTCATGAAACCCAAGGAAAACAGAGACCACAGACTTAAAGTAGTTAATCTTACAAAGAAATGACTACTGATTCCAACTCTAGCCCAGATGTCACTGCTATAAAATTTGGATTTTCATACTGCTCAAACAAAACAATATTATAGTGAACAAACCTGTTTTATCGGCTAGTTTTCGTTTCTGGGTTTTGGATAACTGCTCCTTTTTGTCTTTTTTCTTACTTGCTGGCACATCAGGAGTTCCAATTGCAATACTATTGCTTACTGAAGTCTGAAAAGGATAAAAATGGTTGTTAATGTGTTAGTTCCACAGATACCTGTGTGTGCTTACCAAACCTGATGTACTGAAATATCTTGACTGTCAGAAAGAAGCACTGCTGTCAGCAGTCTGCAGCTTTTAATCAGCATATAATCATGATTGCAGTTTTTAAAAGCATGTGTTGGGGACTGGAATTATTCCCTTTCAGAGTTGCAAAGGGCACCTCTTACACTTTCTAAATTTAATCATGGAGTGTGATTTAGTCTGAATCCCTTCAGACTTCCCAAACGTGAAAACCCCCAAACGTGGAAACCGTTCCTTCTTTCTCAGAGCAAATCAGCAGGACCACAATGGCCATAATGTCCCTGCACAACACAGAAGCCACAAATAGACCCAGCCTGACTCATTCAAGAGCCTGGAGGTACACTTATGCAATCCATTGCATCCCAGGAAGGCTGCAGTAATTTTCCCCCGAGCAGATGCCTTTAATCTCTGTTTCAGCCCTCTTTAGTTTTGCTTCTGCTCCAAGTCTCCATTTTTATGTCACTTTGTGGGATAGAACTGCAGCCCAGAAACATTTTGGTATAACAGCAAAATAACAATTAAATATAACAATTGTGGCACCATACTCAGTGCATCACCGTTTAGCCACTTACATGTGTATACCCAATATACTGATTAACAACTTAAAGGACAGAACTAGAAAGTATTTAGAGTTGTAATAACCGTATTTTACAGCTTCAAAAGCAAGAGATTAAAATCTGAATTTATCTACTTACCACAGTGTTAACTGGCTGATTTTCCATGAACAACTCTTTATTATCTTTGGCATATTCAAAAAGTGTGTATGTCATAGCAGTTCCAAGATTCGCTTCAACTTCTACCATTAACTTATCCAATATACTTCGCTTAATAGCTGCAGATCTAAAAGAAACCATAAAATTCAACTATAATCTAGACAGATGAAGAAAAGCTTGTCAACCAAAAAGTCCCCACATGCAAGGCTATGGAGTGAAGCTGTCATAAATACTTACATTGTGTTGTTGAAGAAAGCATCCATCGATATGACTGGTGCTGTTTGTGGATATGTTTCCGGCCAAGAAACTTCTATTAGAAAGGCTTTGGGATCTCCATTTTCACCTATCTGAAGGGAAAAGAAAAACTTTACAAATCAACAGTTCCAGTCACTTATTAAGCATTACAATGCCAACCTGCAAGTCTTTCATTTCTTTAAGACTATCCAAAGTTCTTAAGATAACAACCATTTTTGTAAAGTTATCAAGTTAGAAAACAAAGCTGTTATCTATAAAAAGTATTACATTTATGACATCAATATTAACCTCTATCCTGCAGTTTTTATCCTAGGAAAAGCAGCAGAAACATTCAAAGCTCTCTTTATGCTGTGGGGTTTTTTTAATCACTGGTTTAAAAAGCTACTTGTAGCATCTGCAAGCCAAATATTATACAACCATACACAAGAACAGAAAAGATGAAGCTGCCTTTTTCCCCCCACGCATCCAAGCTCAGAGCGATATGAAAACAAACCACAAGCCAGTATTGAAATAACGACAATGATAAACTAGTGACCCAAGACAGCAAAAATAATAGATAAGAATTTCAATATTTACGTCTCATCTCTACAGATGTTTTATTTCACTGTAAGAAAGAATGAGTAGTAAAAGATTTAAGAAGTCAGCAGAATGAGACTGGATAAAAAAAAGCATAACCAAAAAAAGGCACACTTTACCATAAATAATCTTGCACATCAAACCAATTTAGTGAACCCAAATTACATATATAATCCTTAAAATTATGTTAAATTAAACAAAACACTTTTTTTTTTTTTAATTTAAAATAGTACAGGTGCTACCAAAGGCATACTATAGAAACAGAAATAACTGTTTCACATAAGGATTCAGAAGACTAGCGCAACAAAGTTGGTCAAAACTGTATTCTAAAACCACCCCAAAATTCTCCCTTATTTCTCTCTTTTTAGAATACTCAAAATCTGGCTTCATCAAACTACATGGAATGAAGTGCAGCCAGAAAAAAAGTCCGAATCAAGGTAAGGCTACTGCACATTGACATTTAAAAATAAGAAAGAAAAGAAAAGAAAAATGTCGGTGCTTTTTTATTTACAGCGTCTGTTCCAGCAGAGCGGACTGACTTCCAGAAGCATCTCTTTTAGAGGTGACAAATTAATAAATAAATAAATCACAATGTATCAAGAGATCATCTACAGTGTTGCAGTCTTGTTCCCACTGCTGCCAGGATGAGAACTGGTGGTACGGTTTACAGAGCTATCTCTTGAAAGCGTTGTCTGTGCACTGAGCGGAGTCGTACAGGAAGTTGCGTGCCCACTTGCACTATGCCTTCTTGTAATACAAATTCTTCTTCATGGGAAAGATACATGATTGCCTTTGACACTAAGTTTTATGGTATTTAAATTAAGGTCTAGCTTTTGACAATCATTTTTCGTCTAATAAAAATTAGCAACGACCAAAGCTAGTAAAATATGGAATGATACACTGTAGACTTGCAGGCACGTCACCTTTGCTCTGTTGAGGAAATTAAATTTACTAATAATGATCCTATCAGTGAAGGAAGGCTGCACTTACATGGAAGAGATTCAAGTGCTATTAATTAAATCGACTTATCTCATTACAATTACTGATGTTATTCTGAAGTTACTGGAGAAGTCACAAAAAGGTTATTTTAGATGCCTCCTCCTCCTCACCACAGAGATTTGGCATTTTCAAAAGTCTCCCTTCTGTCTCATGGATACCGAAGTTTTAATCAGTAAAGTCCTCTGGCAGTCCAAATATCTGCCTCAGTCCGTGCTCAGAACTTGCAGGTCTCTATATCTGAGAAAACAGGCAAGAATTTCATGCCAGAATCTAATCACGTATCTATAGCTCAGCACTCCCGGTATGTCTCTGCTGAGCAGATCATATCAGTACACACGCCCGAACCATTTTGTGCATTTTCTCTTTAGCAGGTAGACAAGGCATGTCAACTACCTCTGGACAAGAGACCAGAACCTTGTAACTAAGCGACAAGGGAGGGTCAGAGCTTTACATATAAGAGTAAAGTGAGATACAAGAATATAAGTCATTTGTGACCGGCTCAGCATGCTGGCTCCTTCAGCCAGTTTGACAGTTCCAGCTATGCAGTACATAGACGTGTAAGTAGGATGCCTAGCTAAGGGATAATAAACCTGTGCTGGGAGCAGATTCCTAAATATTGTGCTATCAAGCATCATCATACCAAAGATCCAGAAACAATGGCCTACAGATCTAGCCTTTTGTCATAGTTTCAGGGGGGATAAAGTTAACTGGCTGGTATAGTGCTATGTTTTGGATTTGGGATGGGAAATGGCATCAATAGTGCACTGGTGGTTTTGATTGTCGCTGAGCTCTCAAGGCCTTTTCTGCTCCTCACCCTGCCCCATCAGTGATGGGCTGGGGGGCACAAGGGGTTGGGAGGGGACACAGCCGGGACAGCTGACCCCAGCTCACCACAGGGATATTCCACACCATGTGACATCGTGCTCAGTGTGTAAAGCTGGGGGAAGAAGGGGGGGATGTTCCGAGCGAGGCATCTGTCTCCCCAGGTCACCATTACATGTGATGGAGCCCGGCTTTCCTGGGGATGGCTGAACACCTGCCTGCCCATGGGAAGCAGGGAAGGGATTCCTTGTTTTGCTTTGCTTGCATGCGCAACTTTTGCTCCACCTATTAAACTGTCTTTATCCCAACCCATGAGATTTTTCTCATTTTACTGTTCTGATTCTCTCCCCCATACAAACCGGGGGGAGTGAGTGAATGGCTGCGTGGTCCTATCTGCCAGCTGGGGTTAAACCACGACACCTTTACTGCCCATCGAATACCCATTTGTTTTAGAAAAACAACTCCTATGTCAACTACAAGGCAGCCGAGTAACTTCGAAGGCAAGCCTGCGCTGCAGCGACGGGCAGACCTTCACCGTGCCTTACCCTGTACTGGAAGGACACCGGGCTCAGCTCCCTGAAGCAGAGATCTCCCTCGTAGATAGAGCGCAGCGCTTCCAGCTCCATCTGCGGCAGCGGGCAGAGAAGGGGGTTACCCATTCCGGCCCCAAC